TAGGTTTGGGCCTTACTACATCGAGCCTGTGATCGCCGGATTAGATCCTAAAACCTTTGAACCCTTCATCTGCTCCTTGGATTTGATTGGCTGCCCCATGGTGACAGAGGACTTTGTTGTGAGCGGCACCTGCTCGGAGCAGATGTACGGCATGTGTGAATCTTTGTGGGAGCCGGATATGGTCAGTATTAAACCTGAAACCACCTGTACTTGGGTTTAGTTTATTTGTGTTCAGATATGTCTGCAGGATTGTTAGTGAGCTTACCTTTTCTTTTTTTAAAAATTTAAATATCTGTAGTTTTAACTTACACTGTTCAACATCCAAGGAATTTAAACGCAACATGGTGGTTAAAGACGCAGTAATTCTTCTCTGAGGTGTTGAAACTCTGAGTGTTGATTTGAATTTTGTTCTGGTCATGCAGGAGCCGGATGATCTGTTTGAGACCATCTCCCAGGCAATGCTGAATGCAGTTGATCGAGATGCAGTTTCTGGCATGGGAGTCGTCGTACATGTCATGTAAGTATGGCGTGCAGGTTTGCATCCACACTGTCTTTCAGCCATGGCTGGTGTAACAGGTGGGGCTTTCCCTGAATGAGGTGTCTGAGAAGAATTAATCTTATAGTGGTGGTACACATCCACAAGATCCATCATTTCTATGCTGCTTGTTCTTTGTCTGTAACTAAGCAACCAAGAGACAGACCTCAGTCTCCCCTCTTAATACTCCTCATTTATTTCTTCACCTTTCCTGCATGGCTTTAACTTTTTTCCCCTCTCCTCCTCTTTGCTATAAATCACACCGTTGGTTTACAGCAGTGTTTTGACCCCTCCCTGAAAGCTCAGTCTGTTTAGTTCAGAGGGTTGTTGGTCATTGAGGTCAGTCCAGAAGTAGGAAAAGGTTAGATGAATCTGTAGAAGTGTTACCCAATCAGCAGTTACGTGCATACAAGTCAGTCCACATGACGAACATAACAAAGTATGTATTTTGGGGCTGAGCACAGCGCAGAGCTGCTGGGTGGAGTCTGCAGTGATTGACGGCTGTTTTCTTTTGTCTGGCAGTGAGAAAGACAAGATCACCACACGAACCCTGAAGGCCAGGATGGACTAGAGCTCCTTCTTCTCTTCATACATCATTAACTCAGATATTTTGTACAAAAATAATAAGAAATCCTTGTATTGTGTCTCTTTCCTCATTCGCATTGTTCAATAAATGAACTTAGGTTTAAACAATAAACACGACCGATGTCATTGTTGGAGGATCTTGTTTAATATCGCTTCTAACCTTAGAAATCGAGTTCACTGTCGAAATCAACGCCTCAAAGTGAAATCACAAACTGATTGAGTGAATCTTTGAGTTGTTAAAATGCTCTAACAAATTACATTTTTAAGGATTGAAGGTGAACCACAAAATTTAGACTTCACCTTTGATATTTGTGCCACTTGTTCCTTCAGACCTTCACCCTTGATACTTCATGTGTGGAGTAGTGGAAGAGCAGTTGAGGGTTCAAATCCAATCAGGCACACCTTCCAGGAAAGCTCACCAAGAGCACACAAGTCTCCCACAGAATACGATGTAGTTTAAGGCACCAGTGGGAAAGATGTTGAAAACGCACAGAAAGAAAACAAGCCCCTTAAAAATGCCATTTACAGAATATTAAACTCACATAATGTCAATATGAGCTCAAGAGGGCTGGACCAGTAAAGCCATTACCTATTAAAAAAAAGGAAAAAAAACTTTTATTTGTTAAAGTAGTACACATTTAATCCCCAAGTTACAAAAAGTGCAGTTTCAACAATTATTTTTTTCCACATTATAAAAGAAATACTGCTGTAGTAAATCACAGGAAATGCATACAAAAAATGCAGAGGCTGCCCAGTAATCCAAAACGTTTCATGCCAATTCACAAAAATATCCCGTTCTTACTGTGAACCTACTGGATTTTTATATGCATGTAGTAAATACTCAAACATGAACACTTCTGTTATTTAACAGAAAGAAAATCTGTCATTTAACAGTTTACTTCAGCTGACCCACAGGGCATGGAAGAAGGCTGTAGAGTTGACAAAACAAAAATACTTTGCCCTCCTAATTTTCACATTTTCCAAAATCATCCAAATGACCCCCAGACCGTTGGGATGGCAGCCTGGGTTTAAAGCAAACTGGAATTTTTCCTGGTTCCAGAGTTAAAATCAGGCAGGAAGTTTTCACCTGCCATCCAACAGCATGTTGGATTAATGGTGCCCATCTGGCCTCTGGACACGCTCACAAAACAGCTTCTTAATGTAAAGTTTGTAACAGTATAGCAATAAGAAAAAAAGCATAATAGATTCACTAGTATAAATGCAGTCTGGACTAATAGTTCTTATTGGTATAGTAATCAGATTACATGTAATCCATTACCCACCTAAGCCACAAATGAGACCCAAGAAGCAGAAAGAAGCACAGCCAAACCACAAAAACAAGATAAAACTCCCTTTAATATGCAATGAATCATTTTCAAGTAACCTTTTTTCCTAATGTCTGCTGGTAACAAAACAATACTGTATACAAACACAAAGTTGCTACATTAATGTAAACAAGATATAAAAATGATCCTTATGGTAATAAAACAAGTATTTGCTGCAGAATTCCCCTTTTTAAAGTGAATGTTTGTTTTTTTTTTTTGTCCTCTTTGACCGACCTCCACCAAGTTCACGGTTAAATTGGAAAAATATTCAGAAACAATATGGCAACAGAACATTCAAACACGGATTTTTTTTTTTTCCTTTTTTTA